GCTAAGTAATAGCCTATCATGATGCCGAATGGACTGTGGATCAACGCGACTTCTTATGAGCACGACTGATCACTTGTCCCATTGGACATCAGTCTCAATAGTATCGATTCGATCAGATATTATTCTAACTAAGCAACTGTGAGAGTAGAGACCATTTCGATTGATATTCGTGTATAGTCAGATTTGAGAAATCTTTAGAATTGCATGCGACTATTTCTATTTCTGCAAAATTCCACCATGGCGATAAAAACTTTCATAGTTGTAGAGAATATTTACGCTTTGCAAATAGATACAGTTAAACAGATGCAGCTTTCTTAAAATTAAACCTAGAAAATACAGCACTTTTGCTTTACTTCGATCAGATATTCTAGCAACGTTTTGCACACCTCAACAGCATCCATCATGCACTGTTTACTTTCACTTATACCGTTTTAGAATTAATTTATTTTAATTTTGCGCTTTCGACGACAATCGACGGACGAATATCATCAAACCATCTTCTGACGTGTCAATCTGCTGTCAACTATTACTGAAAAAAGTAGTGTCATCTTTGTTCTCTGTATATCTATGTTTATAACGAAATTTTGTTGGATAGTATTTCGATGGACGTCGACAGTGAACGGAAACAAGATAACGAATCTGAAATCATTTATTCTGTAAGCTGTATTGTTAATGATCACCCCTTTATTGAAATACGTGAAAATATTTTGAGGTAGTTTCGCATGCCGGTGAATAAGAATACACTAGGTTTCTTGTAAATCACTGAAGCGTATGTTAGAAATAAGAGATGATTATTATTCAGAGGCCTTCTTCTTCTTCAATTTCTTCATCATCATTTACCATTACATGATCTACTGATACAGCCAGATTTTCTAAGTCTAACTTAAATGTATTCGAATCGCTCGAAGCAGTCCAAGCTACAAAAAAACTTCACTTGTGACTACCACTAAGCCATTAGATATCTTTTCGTTTGATTCTATCGAGTTCGACAGCAGCACTGGATAGCTAAATCAACAGTGGCCATGCCGCAATTGAAGAACCTGTACGGAGCGACCGTTTGAGATTTCTAAAATCGTTTATCTTTCACGTGCACTTTTAACAGCCATAGCATCTTCCTTATTCATGACAAAGCAAAACTAATTACTATATACACATTCACACTGACTGATACCGACTCAATAAGATAGAGTAGCTAACGGTTACCTAGATGTGATTATATATTAAATATTCCAAGTTAATACAACTTCTACAACAGGTGAAAAAATATTACCATATTTGTCAGCTGATTTCTTCGACTGAACGTATATCAATTAAAGATATGCAGATGATAATTCAGGTGATGCTAGGATCTGTCTACTAGGCTATACAATGACGTTAACGTTTTGAGAGTAGTCATGCTTTCTAAACTGAGACTAAAATTTCCATCCTGCGCAAAAATTTCACCAAACTGAACGTACTAGGAGATTTATTTTCCTTATTGAATCATCAGTACTAGAAATAGCCTTTTTCTTAATCTTTTCCTCAAGTATGTATTAAATCACAGTGTTTTATGAAACAGTTTATTCAACTTCTTAGTTATTATCGTCAAATTTAAATAAAACTTTGTGGGAGTAGGCACCTGTTTATCAATGATTCAGTATCACAGAGCGTGTGAGGAAGAAGACTTAGATAAACACGAATCTCGTACTGTTTCTCAATCACATCATTAACTCCATCCGTCCATCTACTAAGTTACAACCGTAGCAGATCGTTCTCACTCTCACTACATATTCTACTACCCTTGCTCTCCCACTCAACAGCTCATCCCACGCCCACACTTGTTTCAGGTTAAACTGCTGAATGTATTTATAATCTAACAGCGTAAAGGAAAAAGGTCTTCAACAGCATTTCAAAGATGATAAGCGTTTTATATTGATGATGACATCACTATCAACGCGATGTCAATATTGATTCTTGTGTAGAGTTCATTTCGTACGTGATTCATAAGTTCGCATGAAAATTGTGAACTAAATAGATCACATAAGCATAAAAGAAACGTCGCGTACAGTAGCTCGATGGTTGCGGCACAAATAACATTAAATAGCTTTCATCACTGAAAGTGTTGAAAAAAATTTTTCGTCTTCACTGTTGAACTACGGATGCACTTAGCAGGTTACTCTGAAAACGTTGGTTCGAGCAGCGATTGGAGAGAAAATTTCAAAATTTTCTTTCAGTCAAATTTTAAACGAGAATCAAGTCACATGTTTGAATAACCTACAACTAATAACACATACCAGGCAGATACCAACACTCGACGCATAAAAAGACAAAAGTGGTAGATTTTGATTAACATCGCTATTTTCACTTGATAGTGACAACGACTACTCATCGATAATTTCCACTACTCTCATCATAGAAATCATATTTTAATAATCTAATTTAAAAAAACCATACATCTGAGATTGGGCTCTAAATTAAATGAATGATCAACAATTAATATTGAGATCAAAAGCAGAAGTTTCAATTTTATCCTTAAGAAAGTAGGTTTTGAGAAAACTCTATATTCAAAAAGATTCGAACTCCTTTTTAAGTTTGGATCATACATTTTGGAACAGTATTCTATTTTTGAAATTCGATCTTATGTACAATTTTCAAGGACGGTATAGTTAAAGATCACAGATAAAATAAATAAAAGGAGTCAAGATAAAATCGAGAAAAATCTTTGAAAAAGTACGTTGTCGAAATGAAAGTCTCCAAGAAAATCATGTCAAAATCTGAATATCCCATGATAATATATTGTGCATCTGAAAGAGAAGATTTTGACTCATCTCTCTAATATTGGAACTCCATTGCCAGTTTTCGAAAAAAATGATTTTCTGAGGGGACACCACTAAACAATTTTTTGGATGAATACATTTATATATAGTAACTTTAGTCTTAGTGCTTTATTCATCAGAATTAGCATTTACTCATTTCTAACATAGACTCACCACCACCATCATGTATTCATGCAACAACAAGAAACAATTAGATCAGCAACTGCTGGCATTGCAACTACTACGTCTATAGCACCGAATTTCGGCAATTCGCATTTAGGTAAGAAAAAGAATTTGAAGTTAGCCGTCTCAGACATGGGTAAAGCAATTTGCAATACTTTCATAAGCATTTCGTCCATTTGCTAAAACTTTCTGTAAGCAACCAAATAGGAGATTCTAAAACTTTTAGAAATAGGCTTGTTTTAGGCAGTGAAATGAAGTTCACTTTTCGTTCCATCTCTTTAGTTGAATCACTTAGAACACAAAGCGTCCCTCTACTCCTTAAAAAGCTTGCATAAAAAATACCCATGTTTTGCGACACTTTTCAAGTCGAACATGGCATTATTCTCTCTAGTTTCTTTTTATGTCACAAACATGAATCGTATTTCTAATCGGAAGATCTACCAAAGATGTGTTAAAGGTTTGCAAAACGAAATTCGTTGCTTAGTCAGCGTATTATCGTACATTTTCGTTGTTCAACATTGTATTTTCTATAATGTTACTCCTTTCTCACATGTCTGTTACCAATTACGCAGCTATCTGCACATCTTGTTGGGCGTCAAAAAAACGACTCATTGAGTGTATATGAACAGTATTCGAGAAAAAAAGTTAGCAATGGTTTATAATCGTTTGAAGAAGCTTCAATGGGACCATTGCTTATTTGAACCTCGATTGAAACTCTCCCTACACCACAGCTATTCTAGAAAGACCATTGATAAAGTGACCACTGGTATAACTTACGAGTAGATGGATCGTGCAGACTACTGTTGACCGAGCTAGTGGAATCACTGCAATAATCATCGCAACGAAGGGTAGGATAAAGCTACTTCGAAAACCCAACTTTAATGGACGAAAAATAATCTTTCGATTATTACTGTGGTGAAGTTTACAAATAAAGTATTCATGATCAATGTTATCTCTTCTTTTCCTATTCGTTCAGTTGCTGCAAAATTCATTTGATATTTTACTTTTCTTTATATGCCAAGATATTCTGAAATTTTGGGAATACATTTAAATCACTCATCAACTAAATTTTATTATTTTTTTTAATTTTTTAAAAACATCTGAGAAATTGACAGTACCTCGTAAAAAATTGGGGCGAATCGATCAAGCACAACAATGTTGACTCAGCTGTTGTTATGCAATATCCGACAAATCCCATTAAAAAACGAGAATTAAACACAGCATTTCGATGAGTTTGCAGTGAACAGTACCACGAAAGTGAGAAAGCTCAAGAAGATTCGAGCAATTTCTGTTACTCATAGAAAACCCAACAAAAATGATGGCAAAAATAGCAGAAGTAAGAATAGGTCAGAAAATTTCTAGAAACTCACAAAGAAATTTTACTAAACTGCTCAAAGTACATAATACATTTAGAGAAGCTTTAGAAATCGCGCACAATGCGATGAAAGTGCAAATAATTGTAGATGGCTGCACGTTTACGAAGTTGAAGTGAATTATTGCTGTTAGATTCTTGAAAATTTGAGATGAATTTGAATACATTCAGCAAATAAAAAATATAAAGTTGCGTACATATTGTGAAGTTGTCATGAAAACGCATGAAAGACCACAAACTCTGCAATCCTCACACAGAACTTTCAGGATGAGGAGCAGTTTTGAGAAACCTTTCAAATCTTCAAGAAGTTCAGGAAATGCCATGAAAATCTTCGCTTGATTTCAATGAACATGGAGCCAATGGCAACAGAGTTGATGAAAAAACAGAAAGTCTGATTGAGATTCAAAAAAGTCTTGGGAAATTCCAGGGAATCCTGCAAAAATCTTGATGTCTATCGAATATCAAAGTAGATTCTAAGTGTTCGGGAGAACCATCGAAAAGCATTCGACTATTCCCACAAAACTCATGACGATTTCGAGAAATAAGCAGAAAGTGGCATAAGAAAACAGAAAACTAGCTGTAAATATTTTGAAAGATTCGTAAAAATTGTAGAAAGTTTCAACACATCCAGAAAATCTCAACCGAATATCATGAACATTCCACTAGAATATGTTGAAATTCATCGAGAATTTCTTTTTTTTCTCTCTGCAGGTGCCATCCCGAATATTCTTGAAAATGCCAGATGGGCACAGAACGGAGTGACAGTTGCTGGAGGTCATAGGAAAGGCAATGGGTTAAAACAACTCGATTACCCTTGGGGTATCTATGTAGATGACGATCAAACCGTCTATATTGCCGACGGCGGAAATGACCGTATTGTCGAATGGAAGTCTGGTGCAATTAGTGGTCAAGTAGTAGCTGGTGGCAACGGACGAGGAAATCAAGCTAATCAGTTGAGTGGACCGACAGATGTGATTGTCGACAAAGAAACAGATAGTTTCATCATTTGCGATCACGGGAATCGACGAGTGATGCGATGGTTTCGTCAAAATCGAACAAGTGGAGAAACAATTATCGAGAATATCGATTGTTTCGGATTGGCGATGGATGATCAGAGATTTCTCTACGTCTCTGGTAACGAAAAGCATGAAGTCAGACGATATCGAATGGGAGAAACGAATGGAATAGTAGTAGCGGGTGGCAATGGAATAGGTAATCACCTCAATCAACTCAACTGGCCTTCATTCATCTTTGTCGATCAAGATCACTCTGTTTACGTATCGGAGTGGAAGAATCATCGTGTGACGAAGTGGATAAAGGATGCAAAAGAAGGAATTGTCGTCGCTGGCAGTCGAGGTGAAGGAAATGGTCTAAATCAATTGTGGAATCCTAAAGGAGTGATCGTCGATACGTTGGGGACAGTCTATGTGACAGAGTTTGGGAATCTTCGAGTTATGCGTTGGTATCCAGGAGCGACACAGGGAAATGTGATTGTTGGTGGAAATTCTTGGGGAGAAAAAGCAAATCAGTTGAATGGTCCCACAGGTTTATCATTCGATCGAGATGGCAATCTATATGTCGTTGACGCGTGGAATTATAGAGTTCAACGATTCTCCATTGAAAAATGACTTTGTTTGTTTGTTTTTTTTGTACCCAAAAAATGAGTGAATATTATTCTTCGACTTTTTTTCGTGTGTTTTAGGATAATAAATTTTTTTTTTCCAAAAAACATTATTTTCACAAAGCAGCCACTTATTCCAGCGACTGTCTGACCATGCATGAGTTGAGCAGATCCATATGACGTACTTACAAGATGTGGCAAACCTGTGAATATGTGTGGGTCTTTTGACTTGTTTTCGTCAACAGTTTAATACTCTGGGATGTATCTAAAGACAACACTAACGCCCACCTTCAAGAAGGAAACGACTATTTCTATTTATTGAACCATACAACCAGCAGACATTCAGTAAGATTGATCCATATTTAACCAATCATCTACATTGTGAGTATTAATTTTGAGCGATAGTGAAAGCTTTAGCTTAAAGTGAACCATGGACTTAACCGCAAGCGAATGCGCTCCCAAATGACAATGTAAATAAACTCAGAGGGCACTATTCAATGGCTAAAGAGAATGAATTGTACAGAGGCAAAAAAAATTACCTGTCAGGTTTAAACCCCCAGAATAAAAGCCCATCCTCATGACTATATTTTTCCGAGCGTAATAGAAGCCCACTGAATTCAAAATGTGTACATATAGAAAAATTAAAAACTCGATTAATTTTGGTTGATAATCTTCACTGTTTTAAATAAAGTGATCATATGCTCGTCGATCTCATTCTTTCAATCTGTGTTATGTTTTCTTGTTGGACTGATTAGCTACGTGCATCATCGACGTCATGTCAATAACTCTGCTGTTAAACCATATTTTTTCTTCTGTGTATTCTTATATGTGACTTATAGAGGGATGCTTCAGATGGGAAACGGGCCATAAGACATCCTCAATCTTTGACAATTTCGTTTTTTACTCGTCAAGTGATAAAAATTTTTTGAGAAACATTTTAAAAAAAATATTTCGATGGAGTCTTTAAAAATTTCCATAATTTGTAAATATTTTAGAAAAAAAACACAAAGTTTTGAAAAATTTTCAACAAAAATCGTCGATCTCCTCAAGTTTTGCCGTTTGAAGATACTCCTGAATATATAAATTCATATTTGTGTTTGAAGGCCTCCCAAAAAAATCACTTTTTGTCACAATAGTCGAAATTAAGATTAATGCATGAGAAGATAGCTCGTGATCTTATCTTTCATAGGCGACTAAGTTTTTACTTAGCACTACGTTTTTTCAAAAAGCTTTGAAGATTTCTGTCATCTATTCGAAAAATAAGCTGTATTCAGATAAAACAAAATCTTTTTTGTTTTTTCTCCGTTTACAGTTTCTTGATCGTGCAATTCTAATTTTCCTGTCGATACTCATTTTATATATTTAAGTTTTTTTATTTGTGAGAGGACGTCAAGAGGCAGTGCAGTACAGCGTCCCTTCGTTTGAATAAGCTTTGCTTTTACCGTATGTTAAAACATTTATAACATTAGAGAGGCATTTTAGAAGAGCTTTGTACTGCACTGCATCCTGACATGCTCTTTTAAACAAAAATAAATTAAATATATAAAATGAACCTGAATAGAGAAATGAGGTTTGTCAAATGAGTTATTTTATAACTTTTGTTTGACCAATATCGCCCTAAAACGTTATGGTATTGGACTGAAAATTTTACCATAGTTTCTCGACTCCAACCTTAACATATGTTGAAAATGTCATGACATTTGAACGTTCTTGGGTTAAGATTGATTTTTGCGGAGGTCTTAATACATTTCCTACAATGTTAGTGCGGTTTTTCTCGAGAACAGTTTTAAAATTTTGCTGTGGAAGACGAAACAAAGTGGGTCGAAATAGAAGCCCACCTTTAAACATATAATTTTCAAAACTTAATAGAAGCCCAGTGAGCTTTCATTCTGGAGGGGGGGGGGGTAATTAAAAGTATCGTTAGATGATTAACAGTGCGAGTATTAGAATTTGTTAGTCCAAGCCAAATTTTTCACAAATCAACTAACAATTATATCATTTTGTTCAGAATCGAATTCTACATCTCATGACACCGAAATAAATGTTTCATGGACCAAGCCTACCTTTTAATAATAATATGATTTTCCAAAATGCATCTAAAAATACCTCCAAATGTTATTGGCAAGCCTTTACCCCAATCATATATATATAAATCAATCGATGATGCTCGATTAAATGTATGGAATGATTTTTGTTTGAACGTCGACATAAATATGAAATCAATGAAAAATATGATGTCCAATATACGTATCAGTGAAAAATTAATTACTCGGAAAGCTGAGTATATCTTCAGTTTTTCTTTTCTATTTAGCAATACTTCTTTCTGAAGGTTATACCATTAGACTCACCCTATTAATGACGAATCAAATGTTATATAATAAGTTCATAGTAAATTTTATTTGATTGAGACATCTAACTTTTCAAATTATAGGACATGTCATGTATGAAAAATATAATTGAAAGATTTGACGAGATGAAACGTACGTTTATCAAATCGATAAGATTACGAAGGTGTATAAAACTAAAAATAACGAAGTAAGTGTTAGTAAACAATAATTCACTTGTATGTATAAATCTATTGTGTTGTTTTTCGATGAAAAACTCTTTGACAGTAAAACATCTATCAGTAAACAACGCGAAAACAACAAATGAATATTCTTGTTTAGCATTCAAACCTAAAGAATAATTAGCAAAATATTGTCGAATAAATCCTCGTCGATATACACTTTATCAACGTACTTTTGATAAACATAAAAGGTATTGACTTACACATTAAGGTCATAAGTAATAACTTTTATAACGATATTTTTAAACATAAAAGTTGATAAGCCCTTGCTGATGCATTATCTGATGCATATATGAGTACTCTTAATAATCGATTCATAAGACAAATAATTGCTTTACTTCGTTTATTACCAAATTGAAAGAAATAACATTTACTCAATTTAATGTTTTTGCAGCAGTAAATGGTCAACTATTACGGGAGTATTTTTCCAATGACGAAAATTGATAAATAGTTACGAAAGGAAAAAACGAAATCAAATATTATTCGGACAGTTCGACCAAGGAAGAAATAGAAAAAACTCTCTATCTTACGCAGTACTTTAGCACATTTGAAGGGTATGTCAAAGCTATTTTGTGAGATCATCTTAGCTGTTGTAAATCTATTATCCACATGCGTCACAAGCATATCAGTTTTAGTTCATACTATACAAATCATTCCAATTATAAAACCTAAATACTTCATCGTACTTCATAGATACTCAAATCTTGAATCGTGATACAGTATTTTCAATTTATTGCGTGAAAGAGTTATAACAAAATGAGCTCAAACTAACACGCTCATGACACACGTTGATTGTAGACTTGAAATAGTCAAGAAGTTCTAGAGGATAGCTTTGGCATATTCTTGAAGTACGGTGAAGTACAGAGTTTTCACTTGTTTCTGTCTGGGTTCGATGCAGTCTCTTCACTTCCGTACTTGACATCATCAGATTTTCGGCTATTCGGCTTAATCAAACCTAACCTGATTAATGAAAATACTTCTAAATCGTTGCATAATGCTATAACTATGATAATGAATTCGTTCAGTAAACAATGCTATAAAAGAAACTTTTGATGAATGCATTGAACGAACAAAAGTGTTCGTCAATAACAAGGATTACTAATTTGAAGATTTGGTCAAATAAAAAGTTCATTAGCTTATATCTGAACTTTTTTGTTGTCTTGAAATTAATAGTTTTCAGTGTTAATAATATCTTATTGTTATTATTCTCATGGTAAATATACTCGATTTGTTGTTTTCAGATTATATTCAAATCTACTCCATTGCTTTATTTATAACAGGAATCGAACGAGAATTACTTTCCTTACTTTTATATAGGGAAGTCATCAACATGTCTATAACATTGATTACATAGTAGATGATTAACTTCATGCATATATGAAACCAAAAACATAAGAACAAAGACATTTATAGAATTCAACTGATTTTATACAAATTGAATATTTGTACAATGAATGTAAATTCTCAACAAATATAAAAACAATTAGTTTTAATTTCAATCATGTTTCTTGAAATGTTATTGATGATTTTGAAAAAAAATTTTACATATAATCATAAACAGTGTATTGATTTTAACACCTTCATACATAACTTTCAATGGCCTTTAAAATTATATATTCGGTAGTTCACTAGTTATACCATAATTATTGTGAAATACTTTATATTGTAATATTTATTTCAATACATCAATTATCCTTTTTCTTTCTTCTTCAGATATTTAATGCGGTATAAGCAAAGCATTTATATAGATCTCCATGACTTTCTTATCGTACACGTCGAAAGTTGTTATTTGTATCATGATGTTCTCTAAAACGAAAACTGAGAAAACGCTCGTGTAAACGTGGGATGAAAGTATCGAGACTGAACAGGTCATATTTTATCTGATCTTTCCAAAGATATTCCGTAAGGTTAAGAATAGTACCCCAAAAAGAAAACAATTTTCCAGAGCTTAGTTTGTTTCTCAACTTTCAAAGTAATAATTGAAACGATAACAGCAACAAAATTTACTCGTCATTTTCTTCGCTTATACCTAATGCTAGATAATAAATGAGGTCTGATTCTAGTAGAACGTTAATATTGTTTGTAAAAAAAACAATTCTAAATAAATCACAAAAACGACTATTTGTTTTTTTTATGAAATCAGGTTTTCAATGATAACTGACATTAGTAACTTTACACTGTATTTCGCAGTCCAGTGAAACTCAAATATCATTTAGTTTTTGTTTTTGCTCGTTTTAATTGGTATAATAAATCTTCTCCTCTAATGTATCCATCACGATTCAAATCAATACTCATATTTTATTCAACATGATTCATCAAAACATTTATTTATAAAAATTAAGCAATATATGAATAGATTGTCACATTTGCGACGAGAAAAATACATGTCAGATATTTTTTAGATAGTTAATCATCGTTTTTGTTTTTTTTCTGCTTTCAAA